GATTCGAACCCGCGACGTAAGGATCAACTCCTTACTTCTCGACTCTAGAGCAGACGCTCTAACCACTGCGCCACGCAAGCGACTGAAGTGAATCCATGGAAAAACTGAGAACTTGCAGTTTTGAAATACATTTGTAATATGAACTAAATTTAATTTGCAGGGCTAGGAAATGGTCATTTCCCCCAAAAAAGTCAACTGATATCTTCCTTTTGAGAAAAAAAGTTGTTGGAGACGTATTACCAGTATATAATTTATAAAATGGTGTCTGGTAATATATATATATATCATACGCAGAAAACCTCAAAGATGAAAAATCATTTATCTACCCTTTGATGTGAAAGTGGGCATGTTCAATCTTAATGGAGATGAACCTAACAGCACGACATCCGTCGTCTATTCCTCAGATGGAAGTACATGTAAGTCCATGTTTACTAACTACTAAGATGCCGTGTGTTATTTTAGTTGACATTGCCATCTTGTCGCTCCGGAACATAATATTTGAGAACTTTTTGCATTGTGAAAATAAATGACGAACAGAGATCAACCGAATAAATTGAGTAAATAAAACGAATCGTGAACGAGGTAAAAACAATTTCCCTCTGGAAAAGCAGATGTGGGATCAGGTGCCAAGGAAGAGTAAGCATTTCCTGTTCACCGGTAATTATTGAAGTCAATTTTGGAATATTGCTGCATAGTGACCTGTTATACTACAGTACTTAATGAATATTTTGATTCGTTAATTATTCTTTTTAGGATTACATCCCAGATTTTGAAAATCGTTGTGCACAGTCGTTTTCTTATTAACATAGATCAATGTCAAATGAATGTTGGTTTTGAATGTACATAAGGTATTACTATTAGTTGATTCTTTCCTTTTTACTTTAAATGAAATAAAGAACCTAAGATTTTGAAAACTGCACTGTATGTAATAAACTGAAATATATCGTATTTTCAGCTGTCTCTGGATGAAGTTTTTATAAATTATGTGGTTTATGAAGATATTTTAAAGTTAAGAGATCTTGTTGACTCCATTGACTCCGGATTACAAATGGAAGTTAACAGTAAACATTTTCACCTCCTACTTGCACATTTTACGTCTCAAAGATAATTTTTGGTCATTTGAATTATCTCTTCCGGGAAGTTGAAAAACACTGATATACTTCATCCCTACTTATGTGTTCGAAACATTTAATTTTTCGGTGTTCTACAAATTATAAAACCCGATGAGTTTAGAGTAACTCTGACAGTGGCTCTGGCGAAGGTAAGCAAGACTTCAGGGAGATAGGGTAAATTATTCACGGAAATGTGGCTAGGAAGTGACTACCACGTGGAGACATGGTAAACAGAAAAGTTATGTTGCGTTTTAGTTTTCACAACCCTATAATATCATTCTGTAGAAATGTACTTCAATAAATCTCTCTTGAATTCATTCACGTTTAAATTATAAGTATTCTCTATGATACAATTTTCTGCTGTCATGAATTTAAATTTCTTTTTGGACAAATATTTTGCATGGGAACCGGGACTATATTTTTTGGCGTCAGATTAGCAAATGAGGCACCAATGTGACTTTAACTGACAAATCAGCTGAATGAGAATTGCATTGGGTTGCGTCACATATTATCATATTTTAAGATTAAACACCATTCGGCACACCTCGGCCGATTCCCACTTCATCTGATAAGGTGACGGAATCGACGAAGGTTTGCCGAATGGGACAGCAACAGCACATGCTGCAGTCTGGTGTGCACTGGATTAATTCATTTTGTGTTATAATTGGATTATATTTCATGAAGTTGACATGACCCATGACAGTCGGTAAGCACAAGTTTAAGTATAGTGGGGTAAAATAAACCCAAACGATTAGGTTAAAGTTCAAAAAGGGTCAAAGATCATCGCATACCACACTAGACGAATTTCATATTGTGAAGTTATCTCTTGTCGATGTGACATTCAGTTACAGGTGCAGATCCAGAACTTTTTTTTCGGGAGTTGGGAGGGGGGGGGTCACATCTCAGTCAAAAAAAAATCCAGTCCAGAATTTCCTGACAAGCAGAAGAAAAAAACTGAAAACAAATAAACAAAATAAAAACAATGATAGTGGGGTCTAAGTTAGGGGGAGGATGTCCAAAGTCATTTTTTTATTTGCTTCAGTATATATTTAGTCTTGTTTAAATAACAAAGCAAATTCCAGGGGGGGATCCAATCTCCCTAGCCACTCCCTGTCCCTGAAATAACAATCTATTTTGTGATTCCAATTAAATAGTAGATTTTTTCCCATTTGACTAATTATACATATTTTGTTTCTTGTGTTTATATTATATGTCTGTCTATTCGTCTGCAGAAACTTGAACATTGCCCATAAGTTTTAAGTGGGATGGGCTATACACATGGATTCCACATTTCATAGGTTTATTTCTTGTGACAAGACCTTTTATTTGGGTACCATTAATTTTGACCTCTTGATCGCTTGACCTAGGATTTTTACACATTTGTACAA